GGATATTCAATATCAGTTGTTTTCAATGGGCATATTAACTCATTCAAATTTAGTCAAAGTTAGAGAAAAAATTATTTCAAAACAAATTAAAATTTTGATTTCTATGGTAAATTAGTAAATATCGTTAATATTCATTAATTTTCAATATCTCGTCGATAGAAGGTAAAGTTTGCATTTCACCTCATTTCCATATCGATCATTGATTTTCGAGTTTTTGCCAGAAATGTCAACAGTTTCGTGGATATTTTAAACACTGCTTAACTGTAAGGAAGAGAAATTTGTATGAGATAAAATCACCACCATGTGTTATCTTGGTCTAATTATATCCTGCTATATGAAGAAAATCCTTACATATGACAAGATATTATTGATCCGGATGCTATAGCAACGATAAAATCGTTTTGTATAAGTGATTCGCAAACTAAGATAGTCCATAATTTACTTCAATTAGTATATTCTAGTATTGTAGTGGTGATCCGAAAATGTTCCTGATGTATCTATTGTACAATTCAAACTCGTAATTAAGTGGTCCAAAGAAAGTTGTACAATTCGAGTTCAACTCAACATCATTTCATGTAGATTAAATATTACTTTTGTCCTTATGTTTTACTTCTTGAATTTTCATTTTCGTCCTTTTTCTGAATCTCACAAGATTGGTTCTTGTACTATATCTCGTTAGTAGTTAGAAAATTGTTATTAACATTTTAAAAATCTCATTTAACATTCCAAATTTTCTATAATTAGAAGAAAAAAAAATACATTGTGCTAATAACAATTCCCAACAGTTATTGATATTAGTTTACTCAGACGTGTGAACATGTGCATGCTACACGGAAATTAGACGGAATTGAGCAAAGTTATTTACTAAATTGGCCAAATTTAAACTTGACCAATAATTAGATATTCGAAAAAATTAGGGTTTTAACTCAATTGAAGCTTTGATCTTTGAACTAAAAATATGAGTATTAATCTCCAAACTTGGTATAACGTGAAATAATGATCTTTTTGACCAACTTCGTTTAAGCTTACGCCCAAACTAAAGAGGCGTCATCACGTGTCCCCACTTACTAGAGATTTTCAGTGTGTACAAGTTGGTACACATTCCACAAACATGTCATCGTACAGAGCACTTTTTAGTGCCATTAACAAGCTAAAATTGAAATTCTATCAAAACTTGCAGTAAAATTTGTTGTTGAACTAACTTAAAGCGAAAGACCTGTAATTTGATGAGCTTTCACATACACTTTTACTGTCATGGTAGAATCTGTTGATCTCATGGTAGGAACTCTGAAGCTCAAAGGTTCTAATACATTTCTCTGAGGCCGGCAGTATAGTAAACCTACATCACCATCCCTCCATCAATGGTGAGCACCTGCAAGAAAGGCGTGTTATGGTCACTGGTGCAAAATTAGAGAAGCAGATTGTTGTCAAATGATAATTGCATAAAGGCCAGGAAGGTCAAGGTAATGACACGACCTTCGCTAATGACAATAAGCATCGATAAATAAATTGCAAGAAAGGTTTCTAACACAACAGTGTTGGGCTACCGATGAACTTCCACAGAAAAGCTCCTTAATTGCAACATAGTCACCACAATAGGCACTACTGCCCTTGTGATCTGTGATCTGTGATCTGGTTCACTTGTCCAAAACGTGATACACTTCCATTCCAATGATCCAAAAATCTCCTTCATTTATCTCTTCAATAAATCATCTTGAAGAGAAACACAGTAACTTGATAACTAAAGAACTTTTGTCGAGGCTAAACTTATCCAAAAAACAAATACATTTAGATTCCATCACATTCAAACTAAAAGTTAAACTGTCTATGAAACTTCAACTTGAATCCAAGTCAAATTTATCATAGGTCCAAGATAGGTGAAACATACTGCATCCCGTTTCACAGACCATAACAAGTCACATTTGAGTAACTATCAGAAAGATTCAAGTCCAAAGAGTTCAACAATTATTCCAAAAACTGATATGTATTTTATACCTGTCCGGTCATGTAACTGGCTGCAGGACTAAGGGCCAAGAATTCCACCAGTCCAGCAACTTCTTCGGGTTGGCCATACCTACCTGTAATCACAGCCAGTATGAAAAAAATTTAGCAAACTATTATAAGCTATTATTGTAAACATGCTTGACTTGAATAACTAGAGTTTCCCCAGCCTCACCTAATGGAATAGTCTGTAAAATTTTCTTCTCAATGTCATCCCCTAGCTTTGCAGTCATGTCCGATGCGATAAAGCCCGGGGCAACAGCATTAACCTGAAGGAAATCCATTGTTTACGACCCAATCCATCATCTGGATTTAATACCATCTCGGGATGTGTCTGATTAGTGGAACAAATAGAAGAATCTTGGAATACTCACATTAATGTGTCTGCTTGAATACTCCTTAGCAACAGTCTTGGTCAGGCCAATTACTCCTGCTTTTGCAGCACTGTAGTTGGCTTGTCCAACATTTCCAACTAGACCAACAACGGATGCAATATTGATAATCCTTCCCTGCAAGAAGCATTATTCGACTGAGATAAGACATTAGACGAAAAGGTCGGGATACTCCTTTTGAAAGGAATGGTATTCACCTTCTTCTTCTTCATCATGATTTTGGCTGCTGCCTGAAAAAGTGAAGTTCCTCAGTTCGACATTGAAGTCAAGTAGCATTTCCATGAAAAACGAAAATTCGAAACACATACCTGGGTACATAGATATACACCGGTAAGATTTAGATCAATGACCTCCTGCCATTGTTTTAATTTCATTCTCATCAACAGACCATCCCTGGTAATTCCTGAAACCATGGTATAAATGACGATCATGTTTGAAATTGGACATTAGACAAAAAGCAGGTGAAATTTGCAATAACCTGCATTGGTTATCAGTACATCAACAGTTCCCCAAGCATCAACTGCCTGCAGATGCAAAATTATTAACCACATCACCAAACTAGCATAATCATGCCACAATTAAAATAAGAAGGAACATTTGCGTACGGTTTTGAGCATCGCCTCAACATCTTCTTCTTTCGAAACATCCCCTCCAAAAGTAATAGCTTGTCCACCAAACGCCTCAATCTGAAAGAACACAACCCTCATTCAATATCGCTCTATCACTAGTAAATAAACCCAACAATCATAGCACACAAATTTAGTCCGAATTTCAAGTCAGCAAGACTTATTCGTATGATTTGCATAGATGATTTGACTGTACCTCTTTGGAAACCTCTTCGGCCTCCTTCGACGATCTAGCGTAGTTAACAAGGACCTGTCCGCACACAATCATCATTCACCATCAACAACCAAAACCAACAATACAGAAACTAAGAACATTACACAAAAACCTAACCCTGCAACCAGCTTTGCCCAAAGACAGAGCAATAGCTCTGCCGATGCCTCTAGAAGCTCCGGTCACCACCACCACCGGACCCTCCACACTTTTGGCCTCCCCAGTGGTCGCTTGCTCCAGCGTCGCCACCTGTGCCCTCACGTAACCTGTCACGTGCCATCACCATCACCATCACCATCAAATTATAGTTTTCATTTCAATTTCCAAAATTCTTACATAACATTACCAACTACTTTCTGATTTCTACATTCTCTAAATCCCTAATCATCCTAAATCACAACTAAACAAATCGTTTCGATGACTAATTGGAATTCGAATTACCTGAGGAAGTGGAGGAGCGCTTGGATCTGTACTGAAGCCCAATGCTCCGACCCCATACGGTTGCTCCACCAATCGGAGCCCATTGCTTGAACTGGCAGGCCCTGCCGTCTGTGGTAGCTCCGAATTTAACGGCGGATTTTAAAGCGACGACGTTTGATGCAGATATGGAAGCCATGGGAGCTCTGGAGAATTGGAAAATGCAAAGGGAGAAATGAGAAGCTCGAATGCGAGGAATTGGCGATCGGCTTTTATAAAACGAAGGCGTTTTGGTGAGGTTGTGTTCTGCGTTGAAATGCTTTGGGAACTCCGGCAGTGGCGATGGAAGCAAGCTTGAGTTGTTTCTTACGAGTGGCTGCTGGGATTGACGAGTGGGGCTGCTTTTGCATTTAATTACCATGAAGCCATAGATGACAATGATGAGGGGAAGGGGCAGGATGGTAATATTGAGGTTGAACGCGGAAAATGGAACGCGGATAATGAAGCGAAGAAGTTGGTATTTTCGAATTTGGACCCTCTCCGAGGCAAACCCTCGGGATCCACTAACACAAGCCGTTAGATTTTGATCCACGGTCATAAACAGAGAATCTTTCTAAAAGTTCTAATAATTGTAGCCGTTTGATTGAAATTCAATAGCTCATGTTATTGGATCCCGAGGGTTTACCTCGGAGAGGATCCAAATTCGGTATTTTCCATGCGGGAAATCACTTGACGGAAGGAGAAGAGAGTAACATAAGTAAAATCCAATGGGCTGTGGCAACTGTTTGTTGGGCCCAAATGTCGTGTGGGCTTTTGGTAGTATAACGACAGACGTCTGGGTCATGATCTTTGCTTTGAAGGACGTAGACCGGATTTAGTCCATCAACGGCCCTAAATCAGGGGGACTTAATTTCATGGAAGCAAAATGTTATGAGATAGTATAATTGTGTCATGCAAGTTGTTTTTCTGAACCGGCCACTGTCCAACCTAGTTTCATTATGGAACTTCTGTCGATGTTATATTCGAACGTTAAACTTCGTTTGGGGTTGTTATCAATGAAAAAAAGAGAAATTTATGAAATCTGGCAATCCAAGTGCAATCCAAGGACATTCTCTCCTCTTAATATCGCTTGTATTAAAACTCGATACAAGATCTAAAACAGGTTTCTGCCACGGGTTGAAGCTCAACCCCAACCACCCGATGCCCTATTAAAAGTCAGAGATGATGTCTTCAGTGTAAATGTCTAAGTCTAACACCACGAAAATTTCAACTAGATAAGCAACCAGAATGTACATTTAGAAGAAGCATGGAGCTTGACGATGTAAAGATAAATTGGCAAAGGTTCTTATACATCTGAAAATCGATGATTATGCCCGTTTCATGTTGGTTTCCTCTTGGAGTTGTTCTTCGGACGAATCTTCACAAAAGCCTTATCCAAATCCTAAACAATCAAAACACAAGAAATTAAGAGGAATTATGCAAGCAAGAACTTTGCATCTGCATGAGAGTAAGGACATAGGTTACCAATTCAGTAATGTTAACAGAACACATAACAAATATCAATAAACTAGCAGAATTTTAACATAGCTGGACACAGTATTCCTCTAAAGTCCACGACGAGCACTAGCTTCAGCCAGCCATATCAGATCTTTACTTCTAGTTTTGCAACGTCAGAAGACCCTAAGAAACTAATTGACTTGTTATATGTAGAAATAATCTATTATGTCAACTGATTTCAGGACACTGATAACTAGAACGACACGATAATTTCTTTTCTTTTCTTTTCATTTTTGATACAAGACCTTCTAAAAAATTGATAACCTGAATTACCACAAAAAAATAGTTTAAAAACCATCATGCAAATTTCAACTAACCAAATCACTTTTCCATCCGTCAACCTTGCTCTAAGATAAATTTAAGTTACTAAATGGCTTCTGTACATGTAAAGCTTACTGAGATATTTGGTTAGATTAATGACGGCTTAAACCTAGTGAAAAAGTGCTTAGGTGATCTGATCTCCCAAAAACATTGATAATATTCTAGTAGTGCCCTTTGGTTGGGTAGCATAACAAACTAATATGATTCAAAGTATGTATTGCAATTCACCTCCAATGTTTCTTTTTCCGACTTCTTCGAGGTCCAAAGAGCCTCCAAATTGTAGTAAGCTCTAGCGTTCTCATCAAGAGCATGAATTATCACTTTGCCTAAATAAATAAAGAAACCAAGTATTAAAACCCAAAGAGAAAGGAACTAACAATATCAATGAGGCATGTAATGGCAAACATTATGCAGAAGTACAAGATTCATACGTTCTACTACCATTTGTAAAATTCCATGGGATGTGTCACCAATGGGAAATAAGCACGTTAATCGCAATTAAGTAATAACAATCATCAACAACCACGTCATATGGTTTACAGAATTTGATCGAGATAGTTTGGTCTCTCTAGCATTATCCTTCATAATTTAGTCAAAATACACTCTACGGAAACTCTGAGCCCTCGTATGGCTACTGGAAATTGCTTTTAGTTTTCCAGGAATATTGTGGCGGGTTTATGCAAAAAACCAAACATACCATAACAAGAGTAAATACGTAATCAAAGCTACTTTTCGACAACCAAAAACGAAGATCCTACAAAGAGCAGAACATACCAGAGTCGATGACAATCCACTTTCCTCCCTCTTGCCCTTCCACACTGGGAAGCACTAGCCGCTCACCTCCTTGCTGCTTTGCTTAGACTGCTCATATACACACAAACAAAAGACAATAAGGCCCAGTTAACATCAAGCAGCAATCTAAATAAAAAAAAGAATTGCATGTTACCCTTTTCCCTGTCAACTAGGAAAACCCAAACTCAAATTTTCTAGGCAACCAAACAGATGATAATATTTCACTCTTTTTTCTAGTCATGGGCAATAAGACTCAGCGTTTCACTCTCTTCCGTTTCCCTTCGATTCTCGGCAACCAAACACAAATTAGGAATTGAAATTAGAAAGAAATTCGGACCTGCCTTGTAAATTAGGGCTTGAGCGATTTTCTTGCCGTGCCA